AGAAGTTGATATTTCCCACGCTGAATCTTTTGTCCTTCAACAAATGTTGATATACAAAGGCAGAAAAATCTAAAACTTGAGATAGAAAAAAAGTTAGATGGTTTGAGATGGGTTGAACCAGAACGGGTGAAGAATCCAGAACTTCAGAAAATCCATAAACTAGAACTCAGTTTGAAAACTTGACATATATTAACGAAATAAAAGGCAGAAAAATCGAGTTTCAGCCTCACTTCAGCAGACACGGCCTGTTCTGGATGGCAAGAAAATCATGCAGCCTGATTACGTCATATGGGTAACCAGGCAGTGCCGTTTTTTTTTTCCTGTGGCATTAAAGCTTGTGATGACCAGGGGTAATATTTTAACACCACGGCACTTTCCCCCGACATATAAACACACACTCGCAATCATAGCGTGGAAAAAACATCCCGCGCCGCGTGCTTATGTGTGTGTGCAAGAGAAATACAGCCCTGCCGCTGAACAATCAGCAGTCCTCCGCGCGTCTCTCTCTGGGCGGCGTCATGGCAACGGAACAGCTTCAATTAGAGGAGAAGAAAGCGTTTCCCCTCGGCATGGCATTGGAGAGAGAGCCGAGTGTCAACGAGCGCGGAAAGGGAGGGAGTGTGTATGTGTGTGTGTGTGTGTGTGAAAAAGATTGCGAGCAGGAGGGAGGAAGAGAAAACGAGCGCCGGGGAGACGTGTGTGAGGCTGAGATTGCGAGAGAGGGAAAGGGAGCGTGTCTGAGTGCGTGTGTGTGTGTATGTGTGTGCGTGCTTGCTACAGATTGCAAGGAAGCAAGCTAGAGAGACAAAGCAAGCAAGTGAGATTGAGAGGGAGGGGAAAGTGTGTGTGTGTGTGTCAGAGCAGCCAGAGACAGACAGTGTTTTGCCTGCGTTAGCGCAGCTAATGAAAAATGAATGAACCCACGGGAGAGAAAGAGAGAGATGCAGAGAGATAGAGCGGGAGTTTAGCGCTCACCAAGTTTCAGCAGTGCCGCTTGTTTTAGCGGCATGTTGGCCTTGCTCAGGGTCAAGAGGTTAAGGTCACATACTCTACACAAGTTTGTTGCTTTGGTGGTCTCAATATAGCGATAGTGTCTGCACCATTTAAACCAGAGGCTACAACTATATCAGAGGTTTACTAAAACTTGCTCACAAGATTTTTGTCATCAAACTGTTGTTCATCATGACCTTTGACCTTAAAGTGAAAACAGACCATACTAGGCAGTTTACACTAGCATTGCCAGTGATTTCGCTATTAATTGTGGTGCTGCTGAATAATTTCTTTCGTTCAGTGAAACAAACCCCCCTATGAGGAAAGGATTCAACTCGTAAAGATCGTAATGAAAGTGTTTTTGAACAAAACATCTGAGTGAATAATTCAATGACTCGCTTATAAGGTCTCTTGTTTTGTTCCTGAATGAATCTGTATGTTTTAATGAGTCAGCTTAACAAATAATTCATTGAATTCATTAATTCACAACTTACTTCAAAGCTGCAGTCCGTAGCTTTTTTTTGGGTTGAAAATTATCCAAAATACATATTTGATATCTGCTTGCCTTAGCTCGATTCAAAGCGGTTAGCTTGCAATAATGTTTTAAACTCAAGTGGTACTGGTGGATTTCCGTGGGAGATTCAAGCATGTCTTTGAGTCATTACGTCACATCTGTACACATAAAGAAGGAGTCTCGGCTGGTATAAGCTATATTGCGTGTGAGGATGTTGGAGGTGGAGATTTATAGCCTTTTCTCACAGCACTTGATATAATTAAACGTATCAATTTGATGGCGGATCCAGAAAGGTTCAAACGACAATCACCAGTGACAACAGATTCACCCGCTGTAAAAGGCAAAAGACTTTGTTCGGACTTCGGAGTGGCTACAGAAAAAAAGACACTGCAACCGGCCATTTCATAACACATTTACATAACACGACTGCAACAAGGGGACATTACATGTAGTCACGCAATGCTTACTTATGTTGTTAAAATTGAAAACAAAGTATAATTTGCTCGTTTTTTTGTGATATGATAACTTAAAAGATTGCTAAATTTAATCAGCGTGATACTGCAATGTCAGAGCCAGATGTTTCTTACTAGTTCAGATGACATTTTCCAGTGAAAATTCTTATGTTGGTCATACTTCCAAAAACAATAATCTGTGATTCTGAATGCCATTATCCACACCGGCGCGGCGACTGACAGCCACACACTCTCCTCAAACATTGTGTTCATCCACGCTGTAAAGTTGATAATTCTGCGAATGACTGCAATTGCAGATTTCAAGCAGAGATGGCGACAAAGAGAAAAAATAACGGACTGCAACTTTAAGTTAAACTAAAAATATTTTTTTTACATTCAAGCAGCAACGCATATTGCGCAACACTCATTTTTGGCTTAAAAGTACCCCTTTTTATAACCACAATTTTTGTTGCCTCTTACGGTAAAAATGTGAGTCACAGGTGAATTATATGCACAACTATGTTCAAATCAAATCTACATTGTAAAAAAATATAGTTGGTTCAAATTAAAGGAAGATTGCGGAAGTTCTGAAATTTCTAACCGTCACTGACACCAGTGGCCGTTAGAGAAACTGCAGCCAGTCTCTTGCTTGTCCTCGGTGCACACGCTTTCACGCTTGTTGGCCACACTAGATAAGATAGTCTTTTTTGTGTCTGGATTGTGCTGGAGGCTGGTCGCACATGACGTCACATTTTGTGAATTTTTGCACCAATTCGGACCCGACAACTCTATTACATTACATATTTCTATTACATTATGGTTGGCTCATAAATGTACAAATGAAGACTCAATCTTAAAGATTTTTTTTTAAGTAAAAACCTACACATAGCCCCTTTAAAGTAATCTGGTTGAGTTCATTGAAATTAAAGAATTCACCTTTGGCCAAGCCCCGCCCCCCTTAGTTACTGTTGCTACATCCGTCAAACTTCATCTGCGCTCTGCATGGCTTATGCAGTGACAGCTCTTCCTGCTGAAATGTTA